GAGATGTGCCGCGGTCCCGTTCCTTGATAAAAGTAACAGTTCCACGGCCACCAGAAGAACAAAAACTCTCTCAATCCACATGATTGAATAAGAGATAGAAAACGGAGGAAAATACAAGTCAGAAAAAAAAAGAATACGTAAGAAAAAAGAGCTAAACTAAGAGAAAAGCAGGAGCGACTGTAGCAGGCTGCACGCTGGTTGGCGCATGCGCACTGAAAATACTACTACAGAATACTACTACAGCTGCTAGCTTCATAAATAGGTTAAAACAATTACATTTGCCAGCTTAAGTGACATCACTGAGCTATATGAGTGTAAACATACGTCATGAATTTGTACAATTGTGGTCAAAACTTGGCATGAACGTCATGGTAATTACAAGCTTGTATTGATTTGTTTGAACTGTTGTCTTTCCAGGTTTGAAGAATGGTGCAGCAGTACATCTTTAATAATCTCTAATACATTTAAAGAAGAATAATTGGGTTAGCTGAGGGTAAAAAGTACATATACACTCACACTAATATTTGGTTACTTCTCAGCAAGTTGCTTCCTGACTCAGTGGTTTTGGTAGACACCAGCAAGCTCAGGGCATAATCCTGACTGAATATTCGATCAGTTGTCCTGGCAGAATTGGTAGAGCTTATTTAGGCTACGTTGACACTAATCCAGATAAATTGGAAAACTGCAGTTTCGTCTAAAAACACTCCGCGTCCACACTATCGTTTTCAATCGTGTTCATCCACACTGAAAACGCTACGTTGCTGTGCTGCGTATGCGTGAAAAGTACGATGATTGACCTGTGTCTTTTCCATCTGACGTTTGTTTATTTTCCAGCTCTTTGAGACGTCGCGGCAAAATGTCGAGGAAAAGTGCCGAGTTTTATCTGGAACATGTACAAACTGATATTAATCTTTAATAGGGCTTGAGAGCAAACAAAACAAATGCTGTACGATGCCGTCCGCCATCACAGTGTGGACAGAACGCCAAAACGGAGAGAAAAAGATGCGTTTTCAAACCAAAATGTGTTAGTTTGTTGGCACAGACCCAATCCTCTAACGATGGTACCCAGGCCTGTGCCATGAGGACCGATCAAACATCCACCCAACTCCTGTTTGTTAAAGTCATTGCAAATGCGTGCTGCACAATCACTCCACACTTGAAAAAGAACAGTTCAAAGAAGCCCCAAATTACCAAGACATTATTAATGTCTACGATAAGTGTTTACGAACTTTTGACCGCAACTTCACATTATAGCAAGTACTGCTAAAACTAGACCGCACTCACCGCATCAAAGCAAAAACACAATCCTTCAAAGTGTAACAAGTTTAAAAATCTTCTAGGTACTCTCAGTTCTGGTGACTACACCTCCGCACTTTCCTTTGTGTTTCCCTCTCAGGTGACGCTCATCCCCACCCACGACACTGAGGTGACCCGTGAATGGTACCAGCAGACGCACGAGAGGCAGCAGGAGCTCAACATCATGGTTCTGGCCTCCAGCAGCACCGTTGTCATGCAGGATGAGTCTTTCCCAGCTTGCAAGATCGAGTTTTAAGATCCAGCGTTTGTCTCCTCTCTCCTCTCCTACTGGCCTCCCCAGTGTACATCGGTTTTTATTTACTCTTCTCTATAGCCCGATATGCAAACATGTATCTGCCCCAGTTATTTGTATTTGAGTCCATTTGTGTGAAACAGATCTGGGTAACTGTCTCTGTTTTCTAGATTTTTATTTATTTCTAGGGTTGTTGTGGCTATCACCATTTGTATAACATTTTTTTAATTGTTCACTGCAATCTTAATACTTTGTCGTGTGAAGGGAAGAGTTTTATTTTCTGTCCCTTAACCAGATTTTTTCCTTATTTTATATAACGCAGTGATTTTTGCCCCTTTGTATTGTCAAAACAATACTTAGAATAGGTTCTAATTGAAGCACAATTAAAGCCAACAACAAGCAAGTCAAACAAATCACGTTTGTGGTATCGGAGTAAGATCTACGATATTTTCAGCTGCTCCGTTATTCACGGGCGGGTCGCCACAGACGCTTGCTCCACATTTGTTCATTTGGCATTTTCATTTGCGTTTGATTCCCTTCCTTACTGTTAGGCAGTGTGTAAATCACCACACAACAGAGTTTGTGATGAATTTCCTCTGTGTTTCCATTTCCGTCTCTTCGGGGCTCCCGCTGACGTAGAGAAACAGAAACCCAGAGGTCCACTCGGGCTTTTCAGTATATTTGCTGTAGCTATAGGGACGCTCATACTCAAAGATAATCTGTCTCGTAGTGACTTGTGCTCTTTCTAAAGTCCTTTCAAAGTGAAAACCACTTGTTCCAGTTTCTCAGTGACTGTTTTTCCTACAGTGAATTTGAGAAATCAGTTGTCTGCGTTTGTTTCTGTAGTCTTTGGTGTATTTCCAGTCAACATATCATCACAGAGGTCACATAGAGAGCTGTAGGTGGAGGTCATGATGTAGTTTAAAAAGAATCATCTGATCTTTGGTATTTACATATTTATATCTTTACATACAGAAAATAGCACTCATTAGAGTAGAGTAACCTCATACCTGTTGCTGTGTCGATACAAAGGTTGTGTTAAAGAATGTATTCCATTACAACGATAGGAACATGTGGTTGTAAGGAGAGATTGCGCGTTCGCCTGGTTGACGGTCGCCCACATGTGCCTTTCTGTCCTGCTGTGCTGGAAGGGAAGAGAAAGTGATGGTAGAAATGTTAGGCACGCCTGTGTGCGATACATCGCTGGCTCCTCTGATGTTTTCTTGTCAGCGCACAAAAGGTCAGAGTTGTACATAGTGAGGGTAAAACGGCACCTTTCAAAGCACCCAATCAGTATTTCAGCTGCCACTCAAAGAAACACAAAGGAGTGTGCTAGACTTCAACTGGACTTGTTTTATTAATTCGCCATCATAAATTGTGCAATTTCTTTATTTTTTGTTGAATTTAGCCACAATCAACTTGTTGCATTTGATTTTGTATTTAATTTTTTCCGGCCATAGCTTGGTGGTCATTTTTGGATAGCACTTCATTACCTTAATATTAGACGTGGATGTGATTTGGTCGAGTATTATCGATGATGATTTCTATATTTTGATACTTTTTGGGGCAATTTAATAGATTTTAACCAGGAACTAAACCAACAATCAAACAGATGTAAGGACCAACAGGCCTCACCAGGGTTGCTACTTTATGATCCGCAACAAAAACGCAGATTTTCCCCTCTATGTCTCCTCGGCTCAGCTAGCGACGCGTGTTCGACAGACGCTGGCGTCATTGGCTCATATTTACTTTGAATGTGAAGATGCAGATTACCTTTACGTTCTCCGTGGAGGACTTCGATATCCGGGTTGCCTTGGTTTTTGCTGCGCATCGTACCGTACACCCGAGTCACACTCGCCAGATCGGCCTCACCGTAGCCTGAAATACATCACATCAGCTGTGTGCAGGCTAAAGTCAGCGGTTTCTTTCTTTGAATGACAGGACACAGTCTGACTGCCATTCTGTCAACAAACAACTTACAGAAGCGACAAAGATATGGAGTCGAGGGTTATATATAATTTTATGTATAATTACATTTAGCCTACAGCTGGCTAGGGTAAACTTTCCTGTTAACTCTCTGCGCTGCCGGGTCATTCAGTGACGCTGACATTCCTGCGGTAAAGGAATATTATAATCACGCACTACTCACATATAAGCAAACCACTCAGACTGCCAGACACGAGGGACTCAGTTCGCTCACGTCACTACATTTTTATCTATAGTGGACTTCCTGTTACTCACATTTCTCTCAGTCAAAGCTTAACACACACACAGCTAACTGCTCTATTTTCATGTGCAAAAAAACAAAAGTTAAAAAAGTCAGTATCTGTGGCATTCATACTTATCTGCAGTGGAACGACTCATAAATCATAAAGACTGTTGGTTTCCAGTGAGCCCTGCTTGTGCGTGCATGTGTACCTTCCTTCTGAGTTCTCCTGTATCGTAATAGCTGAAAACAAACCTGACTTAACATAGAGATGCTATTTTAAATTATGCTAGTTAAGAAGCTAAGCTGCCTGGTACTGAGGAGGCACTGTGCTGTAAGGAAAGCCTCGTGATTGTTTCCTCCCTCCTTTTCTGCTTCATGGTTTTACTTCCATCTCTTGTTTTAAGTGCAATATTCTCTTTATCTCTCTTTAAACGCGTAAACAGGTCAAATAGAAAAGTGATTTATTGTTGAAAGGGAAAAGTGTGGTGAAGATCAATAAAAATATCATTTACCGAAAGAAAATGTGTCGTCTTGTCATTTTGTGTCTGCTGGGTGTTTTTTCTTCATACACTCACATGTGTTCGTACACCACTCTGCATCTAATCATGAGTAATTATTGATCACTGGCTCTCTTCCACAGTGGGTCTTTAGCCCCGCCCCTCCCTGAGCCTGGATCTGCTGCAAGTTTCTTCCTGTTAAATAAGAGTTTATCCTTCCCACTGTCACCAAAGGTCTTGCTCATAAGTGGTGATATGATTGTTGGGGTTTTCTTTATCATTTGGAGCTATATAATTAAAACTGAATTGAAGACTTTTAGAAAACTTGACCTCTCACCTTGAGGTCACAGATTTGAACTCGTTCAAGAGTTTCAGGAGTTACATGGATGGGGTGAAACTCCAACCTCACTTCATTCTTCAGCCTCTTGCTGCAGAGGGGTAAAAATTCTATTAAGTATATTTTGGATTCTCTGAACTTCGGCAGTGTTGGTATTTAAAGGTTGAACGAGCCTGATGTTGAAACAAAAAAACTACAATGTTGATAGAAACGTTACCACGGTTTATCCTCTGGGGATCATGACAGTCCAGCTTGTTTATGGGGAGATGTTTTTCAATAATTGGGAGTCGTCCTCTATGAAGACATTAATGTATTGACAATTAGTTATCTTGGCACAATAAGAAAGGTCAGAGGATCAGTAGAGTTCATCACCAGAGAACAAAGCTTTCAGACTGCCCTGTCAAAACCTTTTATTTCGGTCTGAATCATGCTTGCGGACCAGCTCTGGCTGCCCCCTCAGTAAAAATGGGTGGAAACCACCAGATAACACCACTAATGTCAGACACAGCTTCTGAAACAACCACATCGTAATCAAACCATTAAAACCTTGGTTCATCCAGTGATGCCCCACATGAGGGTTTCTAACTCTCAGGTGCAAAGCAGTGAGAACCGCAAGCCATGGAAACTGGTTACTGTAAAAGCTAAAGGAAATCCTAATATATTCTAATTAAATAGAGTCAGTTTGTTTAAGGCTTTACACTTTTATATGCCTTTATACGTGATGAATGGTTAAGTTTATGAACCACTCATAGACTACTTTTCCTTCCTCGTGGCCTTAGTGTGGATTTAGCTATGTTGATTCATCTCGACACTCTGCGGTCCAGACACTGGAACAATCTGGGCTTCGTTCTGCTTGATGAACCCTTTAAAAAAAAGAAAAAAAGTTTAAGAGCCACAAATTATGCTGGATTGGAGTGCCGAGGCCCTCCACTGGTGATAGGAGCCATTTATCAACCAAAACAAAGCAAACAGATACGGCAGTGATTCCCAGACACCGTGGAGTCTGAAGATGGTACCATCCTAGGGGAAGGAGCAGCCGGAAGCTGGAGGACAATCCTCGCTGTGAGAAGCTGATGAATGGATGCAGCAATGACATCACTCGCTGGGTCACAGGATCAGGCTGGAGAATAGAGGGAACAATAGATGTGGATGTTTCCCTTTGCTTTGGAGCTGGAAAGACCACGTACTCCTCTGAAGCAGATTTGTGCCTAGCTGGTTACTCTAAGCCTGTTAACTGTAAACCGTCATATCTGACCTGTCAAAGGTCAGTGAATCCACAGACAGCATGATGTTCCCATTTGTTTTGGAAACTTCAGGATTTTGTCCAAATCTTGTTTTTGGAGGCAGAAGTTACCTTACAAATGAAAGTGTGGAGTTAGCATGCTAGTTAGCAAAGCTGCATTACTAAACTGCACAGGTGCAGCAGACACATATAGGCTAATTAATACCAAGTAACAGACAAATTATACTCACACAAAAGTCTGTAGCACACAGCAGGTCATAGTATTAGTCAGATAATCCAAAACCCGAAAAAGGTCCAGTTTAACGACTTGAAGTAGTGGATGAAGCCCAGCAGACTCCAACGGGGACACCAGTAATTATCATTAAAGCCTGAACTGCTCCTGTACTGGGCTGTAAGACTTTAACTACCATTGTAACATAGACTGACGTTTGGAGCCAACCTCGAGCAGCACAGAGTAAACTACAGTTTTAAATAAATCACTAATGTTTCAGGCCTTGCATGGTGATAAATGTCAGAAGATAAGTTGACGTATATAAAACAGCTGATACAGAAGCACTCCTTCAAGTTTACACTGGGTGATTTTCCTTTTTAATGCTTTGGTTTTACTGAACGGGGTGCCGAGCTAATAACTTCATCCAAATATAGTCACTTAGCTCTGGTCCTGGCTCTGCTAGAGGATAGATAGGCACAACAGTTACAGGCAGGCAGGCGGATACATGAGGAACTATATTCTAGGTCCTAGAATATAGGACTTCAGGAAAATCTAATGTTCAAAAAATATCGGGTCCTTTCCAGGACGGAGGTGCAACAACTTGCCAAAGACTGATGGGCTGAACCAACATCTTTCTACAGTCAGTGAAGGTTCTCAGTCATCCAGGTCATCGTAGTCTAAGGAGCTTGGACTTCTTTAAGTTGCTTGAAGCTTTTTCTCGGATGAGAGGTGAAACATCTTCAAGCAACTTAAAGTTCATACGCTTTTCTATCCAAACTCATTGGGCTGAAAATACTCTCAACAGAAATCCAAAGGAAAAATCTAAAGACAATGGCAGCAACGCAACAATGACTTTAAATACACCTCACTTCATGAACTTTCTAACACATCACCTGAACATCGCAACCCTGGACATTAACAGAACTTGGTGACTGAGAGGTCTTTGTATTCCTGAAAAGAGAAGAAGTTTTTGAAAACATTTAAGAGAGAAACGTGCTACTCTTTACCTGAGTGTGTTCATCAAACACCTGGAAATGGTGCAGATGAAATTTTTCCATTCATAAAATATCCCCATCGCCTACGTTCCTCTGCACTTCTGTTCTCCAGCTCATCACTCACAGCGCTGACCTCCACGGTGACAACATACACTGTGAGAACGGTAACTCCAGGTGTCAGGACACATCTACCTTTGACACATTTACTTAGCGAACACTTCAGAGCTCATTTATTTTCAGGAAGAGACTCAGAGTCCTGGAGAGCGCTGGAGCCTCTGAACCTTCCCCCACTTTTTTTTTTTTTTTTTAAATTTACAACGTGCTCCATGCATAGAGAAAAAACTCATAAAGAAAACAACATTGTGTTTAGAGTGGAACAACCTGCAAGTCCTGACATCAACTTGAACACCTTGAATAACGGCTTGGCAGTAGATGGAAAGCATCTTCTTATGTATCCAGTTTACAGTCGCTGGGGGGCCGAAGCCACCCCGGCTGTCTCAAGTCAATTTAAATTAACAGGCATTTACTAACACTAACACTATTACACCTTTTTACCACAACCAGCATCAGTCTTTTTTTGTGATTGATTGATTGATTGATTGATCATACTTTATTCATCCCGAGGGAAATTGGGTTAAGGCTGCCAGCCGTGCCAGCGCCATCTTTGATGGTGCAGCAGCTCCTCTGTTGGATTGGAGCATTCGGCCTTCGTTCCCCATTTGCATCAATGATCCACACAACCACATTCTGTTCTGCAATACGCCGACAGCTTCATGTTGCTTCAATTATTGTTCTGGGAACCCATCAGCGACCATGGAGAATAAACTTCTGGGGGCACTCGCCCCACTGCCAAGCTGGGACAGCTCGTTCCTGAGTGGTCGTTAGTTTGGAGATTTAATTCTCTTTTGCTCCCAACAGTTTGGCTACATGCAACTTCAGCTTCAATGTGACTGTGTGGAGTGAAATGGAAGCTGCAGAAACCAAAGATGACGTCCTTATATCTGAGGGATAGAACCTGCACGCTATAAGTAAGTCAGAAGGACATAAATGAACCCATCGTGCACAAAGAACATGAGCTCAAGAAGACAGCAGGGCCACACTGGTGTCACGTTTTTTATTCTGCACACACAGACAGGTCAGAGTTTCCCAAACTCACAGTCATGGATTTCACCTGCAGTACTTTGTGATGTAACATGAAACCGGACTGATTGAACACGCAATTGCACGTCAGCATCCTCGACTACCTGAATCAAGCGTGTGCGCCTGCCTCCACGCACACGGCTGCTACATAACTGGTCGCCACATTAAAAAGCACACAGAATGTAAAATGCCCCTCCCGTTTGTTCAGTGATGACATAAAAGATAAGCTTTCAGATCCTTCCTGCATCACGTCGTGACTTTACAAAAACACAAATATACACAGTAGCTGTGGTACAATTCCATATCCGATGTGTGGGTATTAAAAATACAGACTTTTGTTTTTAGATGCCGTTTCAAAATAAATATTTCCTCTATCATTTCCTACTGATTATATTAACTTTGTAATGAGGCTTGAGGACTTTGGCAGTAAGCAGTGCACACACGGTTTGACCCGGAGACTGAACACTTCCACTCAGCTTCAGCCTCTTTAAAAATCAAACATGCAGTGCCACGGACGCCCGGCACCGGAGGGACGCTGCAGATTGACGAAAAGCAGAAGATTTGCTGATTGTATTTTTCAGAGTCTGCGTTTGATCTTTTAGTTCCTGTACTGAGGAACAAACAGAAAGCTCGCTGATCGCTAACGATCATTAGCCACACCAACATGCCCTGAAAGCTGGTACTGTGAGAGTAGATATACATCCAGCACACGTAACACAATTTAAAGCTCCGTTAATCAGTAACTTTATGGTCACAATAAATCAAGAAAAAAAAGAAAATCATCTTGGACAATTTTCTGCAGCTTTTCAGCCTCCTTTAGCTCAAGCTTTTAGCCTAATAGCACATTTAAGACCCTGTGTCTACAATCATTCAAACAAAGGCATTTATAACAGCGAACAAGTGACAGTAACAAAAAGCTTTTCTATTTAGCTTGACCTTCTCCAAGCTGTCCCATCTTCACCTGTGGATGGACTGAACCAGAGGGCCGAGCAGGCGATGAACAGCATGTACGGCACTGTCATCTGATTCTCCAACACAGAGCTGCCCGAGATCACTCATCAGAGTCACAAGAGAGAAAAGGGAAGGCCTGGAT